AGCCTCTTCATACCTATGGAAGCAGTAAGGGTGTACACATGGCTTCTCCATTTTGGCTTTCTTTTTGTAAAATAAATGACATGGTGTAATATGTCACATGTTGTTCATCTGAGGGTGTATTTACCTACTTTTGAGAACTGCTAAGGACCAGATAATTTTTATTATGTCCTGATACGTAAAACCATAGAACTCAAAGAGAATGTACTTTCTTTTTCACACGACTGCACATTTCCCTTTTCTTGCTGCTGCATCCCACTGTTTGCTCATGTCATGTCTAGTTTGTGATCCACCCAGATATCCAGATCCTTTTTGTGTGTACTGTTGAACCAGCATGCCTTCCCACCCCACCCCAACCCCACCATGCACATCCTTTACACTTGGCTTTGCTTTTTCCTATCCAAATGTTGGACTTTGCATTTGTCCCTGTTGAAATTCATCTTGCTGGTTCCTGCTTAATCCCCAAACGCCCATGTTTGCAACCCATGTTTGCAAAGGAAGATTTAGGCTACGTGTGACCTTTTAGCACAACACTGCCAACACTGGCAGTGGCTCAACACAATTTCAGGTAAGAAAATTTTCCAGCCTTATATGGAGAAGTCAGGGATTGAGGATGACCCTTCAAAGGGGCATCCTTGAAGCCTACTGACAATAGAGATGCTGGTGGCCAAGTCCTCTTAAGCAGATTACACACCACGGAAGGGCATTACCTTAGTTCCCCATGTTCCCAAAGCAACAGGGTTTTCCCCCCGTCCAGTACAAAGTCAGAAGCAGGAGAGATTCCCGCAAAAGAAGACACCAATTAAGTCAGCCAGAAGGAAGCAGACCACTTTATTCTTAAAAATGCTTTTGATTCTATGAGAAAATCAGATCTGCTTCTTGTGAGAGGTCAGCGTTAGAGCCTGTGGTAAGTAAAAATGCAGATAAAAGTTGATGTTCAACTCAAGGACTGCCTATACTTACTAGTTTCCTCACTGAATTTCATGATCAGCCCTTGAGCACATTCTTAGTTACATTTAAGGGTGCAGGCAGGTTAATGACCATGACTATCCATTACTGACCTGATTTCCTGCTTGCAGGAATGTAAGGGTCACTGGTTGGCCATGATGTGTTTCTACACGCTAAAAAAAAAAAAAAAAAAAAGCAAAGCAAAGCCTAGTTACCATACCCAATTTTTAGTTTTGGAACCAGAAAGGGCCAAGAGAGTGTTGGGTTTGCAGGAACTTGCAAATGCAAGGAACGAAAAGTCATATTCCAAAATCTGAAGGAGCAAAACCAAACCAATGTTGTAATCCCTCCATCAGCTTTCATCACCTGCTTCTACTCACTCTTTCCAAGAGCCACTCAAGGATGACCAAAGTAAGAAAAAAATGCTGCAAATGTTACAGACCCAAACAATCCTTTGTTAGTGATTGCTTAATTATTCTTTCATTCAGCAGGGATTCTTCTTTGTTGCTGAGTTTATGTATCAAAGTCAGTTTATTTTGTTCGTAAACATAAGCTAAGTTTCTCACCCTTTTATTATGATATATTTAAAGAATTAAATCAAGTATGGGAGAGGGAACCATTCATTGGACTTTATTTAGGGAAAATAAATCAAAATTCTGTCTACAGAACACTAAAGCTAGGAAAACACACACAAAAGCCCATCACAAAACAACAAAATTAGATTTCACATTTACTCATGCAAGCTATCAGGAATTTTTATACAATTCTGATGGGAATGAATGCAGCATCGGTTTCCATCATTTGGTTGCATGAAAACAATACAGAAAAGCATTGACATTAAAAATAAATTAAACAATTTACAAAAGATATGTTAAATAATTTAGTAACTATGATTTAAATTTGCAAAACATACATTTTTACACCTTTGTCAGAATGGTAAATAGCCAAGACCGTAAGTTCACTGCAACAGAATAAGGCAATATGTAAGAAATGGTTCTCACAGTATAGTATATACACATTTTGGAAATAAGAGCTTGTCACGGAGTTTCTAGGTACAATTTGAGTTATTTAGGTTTTTTTTTCTTTTTTTAAAAAAAGTTAAAATGCCAACTTTGCTGGGAAAGTATGAATGCTATCTTCTCTATTTGCTAATAACACGGATATTAAAGTGTCCTGAATATTGAAACCTGGCCATCTATAAAACCTTATTTTTTAAAAAAAATCACTTAGTAATTATCATTAACAAGCTGCAGCATGTTAACTATTGCTTAAAATGCATTTCTTTCCACTACTGAAATGAAATGTTAAATTTCATTCTGATTCCAGAAAAACTGTCTACAATTTTTAGTAAATCTTACGAAATGGTGATTTAACCAAAATACATCAGAAATTTTAAAAATTGTTTTCACAATAAAAATAATAGCGAACATAGCAACGTATGCAATTAACATAGGATACATTGATTAAATCATGGCCTTTACACCAACACACCGCTACAATGATTGATGAACTCAGGAACAACTCTTTTTGAAAACTTTGAAATAAAATTCTGTATTTACTATGTGTGTACTAATTACAGTGTTTTATGACGAACTCTTAAGTACAAGATACACAGCTTGAAGTAAGACCATGAGGAATAATTAGTTTTATATTAAAACTAATGATTGTTTTAAAGTTTCTCTCCACTCCCCCTCACCCAGTGCCACTAAGGGTGTTACCTACATCTGACTTTAAACAAGCATTTGAAAAAGCATGCTTATGTCATTTTTAGTTTACTTCTACCTCTCTTCAGGACACAGATAACAAAGATGACCGAGTGTGTGCAGAATATGCAAAAAAATTTCACCATCAGAGGATTAGCCACATCATCTCCTCATTCACTCAGTGGCCTGGCAGTGGCAATGGTCACCAGGCCCAAGTAGGTCAGTCTTTCTCCCAACTGGGGAGGGGCGGACTGGATAAGCAGGCCACTCTCCTCCTTTCCCTCCCCCATTCCCTCAAAGGCTGGCTTGCTGCATGGCCAAAAGCCTGGGAAGTATCAGCAGGTGAGCTATTAAGAAGGAGCAGCAGCAGCAGCGTCTGCCTAAGTGTAGCTACCTCCTCACATTTACCTGCTTCCCTCAGATGATTTTGGGTCACTGTGCAGAAAGCAGTGCAAGGGAGAATTTGGGTCAGCCAAGGAGGGAACTGCCCTTCTGCAAGGAATCTTCTCCTGACCAAAGGGAGATGGCAAGGCCATGAGCAGACATGGATGTGGTTTTTTGCACTTCTTCCAGGAAGCCTCCTGGGCCTAATCCTTCCTGCTCTGCTGCCGTATCTTGCATACACACTTCCCTCCCCTTTCTAGGCTGACAAAGTGGAAAGGGAGCAGAAAAGGTGAGGGGGAGAGAGGGAAGAGGTGAGATTGCCAATTACAGTGCCTTTGCTCCCTGGGTCATTGGCTAATACTTCAAAATAATAGTTATTTCATTGTGAAGGATCCTTAACTGTTCAGCAGGTCTAAGGAACAATTCCAGTACTGTTGCAAGTTTTCCATTTAATAGTTGAATCTGATTTAGCACTAAGCAAACAAGAAATAGGACCCATGTGCCTACACATACACACCACACACATGCACACATCCTTCCTCTGACTAGATTGTCTGAATCAGGGCATAGTAGAGTACCTTTAATACTCTGTTTATAACCCAGAGTTCAAACCTTGGAGTTAAGGGAAGTTGCAGTCTAACACATGTGGAAGGTGAAATGCTGCTTTAAACTAACCAGAATTCCTTCCCACAGCTTTATCTCTCTCCCAAACTCCTATTAAAACAAGCTCCCAGTGTTATAAGCAGCTGCTCAGGCAAATGGTGCACAATCCAAAGCTGAATTCTGCTTTTTCATAAAGCACTCCAATACACTTCAAATGATGTGGCCGAGAGCGGGGTTCTAGGCTGCTGCTTTCCTATTCAGCTAAGGCTAGTTCAGTCCTGTATCAAATTGGCCTCCATCATACAGAGGATAAAAATACTGTAAGGCTAAACTGATCTAGCCTTCCCATGGCATGGGAGCACAAAGCTATGATGTTCTTAAGTCTTATGTTTCATGAGATGTTCTAGTGCAGTTAAGTAATTGAGGCACTCCCTTTATAGCTTATTTTCAAATAACCCAGAGGAGCTGCTGTATACAATACACCAACATCCCAGGTTCACTCCCTGGAGTCTCCAGGAACATTGCTAAGGACAGCTGCCAGTCAGTGTTGGTAATACTGAACAAGATGGAGAACATTCTGAATTAATAAAAGGCAGCTGTCTAGGTTCCTATTTGTCCTCTAAAATATACAGTAGAGCTAGTAAGAGATGTGAATTGTCACCTTTTTGTAGAAGTAAGGCTTGTGTCCAACATGTATTTGGAAAAACCTTTACAAATAGATCAACTAACGCAGGTCAGAGTCTTGTGACTAATAGACCAAGAGACATACTTTCTGCATCTCACAAACATGTCCCAAAATTTTAATTTTTAAGGAACAAAATACTAAGGTGTTGACCTAGAAGAATGCTTGCTTGCAGGCTTCCTACCAATTTCCCATAACAGTTTAGAATATAAAGAATAGTGTTTGGAATAAGAACACTTATATTGTATTGCAATGCATTCTAGAACATACTATTGAAAACACTTAAATGGAGGACACTTCTGAATTAAGGAACCGTCTTTGTTTCCTGAAAACAGAAGTCTAGCAATGCACAAGCTTTACTTTTAATTTACAACAGGCATAAATAAGTTGATGCTATTGTTTAATATGTGGACTTCAAGGACAGGAGTGGAGGAGGGAGAAGGGGAGATATTGATCGAAGTATCAACCTTCATTCTGTTATATCAAAATTCTATATTTAGAGTAAAGCAAGATTTATTGTAGCTCATCAGAATAGTAGTGAAAGGTGTTACAGTACTTTTTTTAATGGCACATTGCTTTGTATTCCTTATCCCTGAATCCTCTATTTTTTAAATCTCTACCACCCATACAGCATTATTTAATTTCCATTTAAGAACAAAAATACTGGGTCCTCAAAGAAGGCTGAATTTTTAGAAGGCTCAAAATTCTAAATTATGTAATCTACCTAATAAAACATATACTGAATTCAGGTTTTAATTATAAATATACTATTTACAAAACAAGTCATTAGTATTTAGGAGACTGATAATTCAACTGGCTCTAAGTTAAAAGCATTTTTAAAAAATCCAAAGACTTAACTTTAAAGACCACACAGTGTAACAGAAGTGCACACACATTAAACTTTAGCATGTCGCTGGTTCAGTCTTAAAATAGGCATGATACTTTCCCTTCCAATCTATCTAACCCATGAAAGCATATTGCAAAAAAGCCACAGCTGATACTAAGAAACAGTACATGTTTTGGAGGTGGTGAGCACCCACTTCAAATTTCATCATGCTAAACCTGAAACATTTCTGTTGCAGTCTACAAACCAACTCCAAAATACATAAGGAACATTGATCAAATGCGCAGGTGGGTTTTATATGCATTTTGTCAATGTATAAGGTTTTATAATGTTTGAGGTTGGCCAAACAATAAACAGAATTTGCAGACAGTCACCATACAATCTTGCTATTGAAGATATAAGGAGCAATACAATGAAAAGGACCAACACACTAGTCTTAATCCACTTGCTCAGTGAGATTCAAGACTGTGCAGTCAACTTACACTGCAGCCTTATAACATATTGATAGGACCACTGGCGTTATATTTTGAAATGGCTAAAAAGAATGATCTGGTCTTTATACAATCTTGCTTTTTTCCTGGAATGATGGTTAAAAATATAAAAGGCAATATAAAAATGAGCAATAATTCAAGGAATGTAGGGGGAAAAAATCTAGTTCCTTAATGCCCTAATTCAGTAGTTAAGAAGGGATGGTCATATGAGAAGTCTTCTCCAACCATACCTTAATGGAATGGTTCTTGAATATTTTTATTAACTCCAACAGCACATTACAAACATGATCTGGCTTAAGAAATAAAACTGTCTCCTTAAAAGTCAGCAGTCTCTTATTTTGAGAAATTGTTTATCAACTTATCCATCCATCCCCTAAGGCTACAGGTAGAACATTATAACCACCAGAAAGGACACTGGGACTATGTTAGAACTGACAATAAAATGGGGAAAAAAAAGAAAAATCTTCTAGCTACCCCATGGGTGAATTTTGTATGAAAGCTGCCAATATCCAAAGCCAGGAAAAGTCTTAGCCCAATATGTAGTTGAAACTTCAAAAGGAACTTTAAGGCACTCATGTGACTGTTGGACTGAAGAGCCACTACATTCAGAACTTCTCAAGGAAAGGAGAAAGAACTGTCCCTCCTTTCGGCTTACCAGACATTTTTTCCCCTCCCCGGAAAGCTGAGTGTTCCTCAATTTCTGTATCTTTTCAGGAGAAACCTCTGCTGCACCCAAACCAAGAGAGCTTTTAGTGCTAAATGAAGTTGCTAGCAGAGTGAATTTACATGACCAGTGGCAGAATTTTGTAACATTGCAATGGCATTTTTGTAAAAGCACTATTCTTACAAATGCAATTACATAATGCAAAAATAAAAATAGACATTGTCCAACATAAACATTGCCAATGCACTCATTTATGGGGTTTATTCCAAACCTATGGTGTTACCGTGTAAACCTGTTGAAGTAAAATACATTGTATGATAAATCACTTTGCTTTAGTAATGCCAAAAAAGTGTCTTCCTGAAAGGAAAGGCAGACAATAACTGTTCGCTTTTTGCTGTTTCAAAACTCAAGATGAGAAGCAATAATTTTTTAGAGGCTACTTTCATGGCATGAGTTAGAAATTAATCATTATACTTTGTAAAATGGGCTGGGGTTAAAATAATCATGTATAATGTTTCTGTGATGAGACTTTTTACTGAAGTTGTATTTTTTGACTTCCTCAAACCAGTGAGGTACATACAAACCTCTGGATGTTGCCCTGTGCTATAAAGAGATAATTCATTTCCAAGTTCTAAAAACAGGAAACACTTTTAGGTGATCGCTACATGCTACAAACCAGTTACTACTACTAAGCACTGAAATATAATTATGGAGAATTGAATTAAAAAAAGAAACTAAACTAACCAAACCTCCAAGATTGCTGGAGTTATTTTTCATATAGATATTGCTGTATGAAATATTAATGTGCCAAAATAGTGTATCACCTTGATCAAGTAAAAGAGGCAGTACCTAACACTCAATGAATTCTAGTCAGTGGTAGATTCCCTTCTAGAAAATTTAATTCATGGATTGGGTAACTGCATATTCCTTCAGGATACAATGATTACATCCCTGTGCATAGAAAGTTTCTTTTCTGAGATCATTCTTTTTTTCTGAGGTCTTATGGTAAACTTTGTTGCAGCAGTCTATTAAATATGCCACTATTGTAAACTTTTACAGTCATATCTGAAGTGGCAGACAGTAAAAATATAGGAGTTTATCTCAAGGCCACACTGTTGCAATCTGGAACAGTTTATCAGGGCACAATGAACACTGGAACTGTTGACTCTGCAGTTCAACCTCTATAGCTGCCATAATGGTCTAAGGACCCAACCTCATCCCAACTTAATATTCTTAGTCAGTAGAGGTTCCATGAGATCAACTCACTTTCCTAGAGTTGGGAAGTCACACTACAGGCATCTTATTAGACCTGTCTTTCCAGCCTTTGCCACACCACTGCTGCTTTGATCTCAGTCATATTTTCTGGCACTGTTTATAGCAGTGAGTAATTCTGAGATAGTTTTTTTTTAAACTGTCAGTCTTCTGAAACTGTTGAAAGTAATGTCTGGCTGATACTGTTGGTAGTTATACATGTGTACTTGATTGCTTAATTCATTAAATCAATTGTACAAAACCGTTACTGATGTTTTTATGTTTAATGTTTGGAAGCTTAACACTGATGCCTGAATAAGTATTTCAACATGCTGTAACTTCCTTGCACTTGCACTGAAAGACAATACCTTGCATCAAAGATCCTTTTTTCATTCATGGCTACAATCAGTTCTGGACTGGAAATCTAAATTAACAGAGAGCACAAGGCCACAACAAACCTTGTGCAACTAGAAGCAATCCAGTTGCTTAAGAATAGTTTTGAAGCAAAACAGGATTAGTATTAAAGGGTTTGGACAGCTAAGATGATGTCTGAGTTTGAGACATATGCTGAGTACTAAATGTTTATTACGGCATTCCCCACCCTGGTCCCCTTTGTTTGTGTATGGCATTGTATCCAACCAGCATATCTAACAGCTATACCAGCTGAGAAATTAGGAGAGGCACCAAGTTGGGGAATATCGGTTGAACAGATTAGAGAATGCTATACCAACCCCCCTACTAAGTGCTTCTAATAGGAGCACCTGGACGTCAACAGAGTCCCAATGAGATAGTTTTACCCTTCAATTAAAGACATTTATAGAAAGATTGCAGCCCTTTCGCCCTTTGATTCCAGTTGATATAAAAACAATATGTAATAATGCCAGAAAGATAGAGAATAATTCAGTATTGTGATGCTTTGAGCTTCAGCTGAAATTTGGCAATCCAAGGAGGGCACCAACTGCTCCAAAGTACCCCTGCATTTAAAAGAAGATTTTGCACAATTCAGTTTTTGGTAACATATTACATTTGGCAGTTTTGAAAAAACACACAGAAGTATGTGACAAAATCTCTTTTTCTTTCCCCTTGTACAAATATTTTGGGACAGCTGTGACTTCTCTATCCTCTGCACACAGCCTTTTCTGTCATGATTAAGATGCTTCTAAGACCCAATATTTGTAATCAACCTGCCTGATTCTCAGAACTGTATGAGAGCTCCAAAGGACATTATCTTCCATTAAGAACTCTCTTGTATATTTCCATGGCCGCTACTTATCTTTTTTCCTACCAGAGATAATCTGTTAAGGAAAGAAATACAAAAGAATTGCCCAGGACTTCTCTGATGGGCCATGCAAGGGATTCTGTCTGGAAACCTCCATGCTGTTCATTCTGAAGCCCTTTCCAGCCTGCTAGGATATAACTCACAGGCTATCATGATGGAGACTGAGCCCAGTATACTGTTAGTTTCTCTATCAACTTAAGAAGCTGCACATAAGGTTATATGGAAACCAAATCCGTGTGCACTATCTCCCTGTGCTGTGTTGGGCTAGAGGAGGCTTATAAGGCTGCATCCACTCTCTGCTCTAGTTTCGAAAGAAGTCACCACCGAAGGACAATGCTTGAGTCCTGTAACCTTTTCTGCCTCAAAAAGGGTAATGCTATAGACACTGTAAACCTGTCAACAATTATTGTGGCAAAGGGATGTTTCCTTCTCCAGACAACTGCTAATTCTCAAGTGCTAGTGATTTCAGGTGTTTCTACGCAGAAAGGACAAACTTGAGTTCTATGGGTTCTCATATCATTCTCCTTTGCCATTTAGCAAATGAAACAGCTACTTCATCTATAATTTTTCCAAAACAGTAATGCGGATACTTAGAGTTACAGCAATGCCATTCTGTTTACTATACGCTACTTACAATGGGGCAAAAAAGTATTTAGTCAGCCACCAATTGTACAAGTTTTCCCACTTAAAAAGATGAGAGAGGCCTGTAATTTTCATCATAGGTATACCTCAA